CCTGTAATGCCCATGGCCCTCATTTTGTGTGCTATCACTCCAAGATCGCATTTGTCAAACGCCTTTACAAGATCTGTGTAAATAACATCTGTGTTTTGGTCGTCTTCTAATGCCTCTGTAATTCTGTCCTAATGGTTCAGTAGCTGTGACAGGCATGATCGTCCTAATCGAAAACCATGCTGGTTCGGGTTATGCTGATTGTGCTGGTCCATGAAATTTGTTATCTGCCATATTGTCTCTCTTTCAAAGATTTTCATGATGTGAGAAATTAGGACTACTGGTCTGTAATTTTTCGCTAGTGCTCTACTACCTCCCTTATGCAACAGAGCTATGTCTGCACACTTTAAGGCCTCCAGTATTTCACCTAGATCTAAACTCTTTCTCCATAGAATGCTGAGTGTTCGTGCTAATGGTACTTTACACTTCTTTATAAACAGAGCATTCCATGAATCTGGTCCAGGTGCTGAGTGGGTGGGCATGTTGCCCATTTGTATGTATGATAATTTATGTAACTGTATTTATGTATACCTGTACCTAAAGAAACTTATTAGCATTCCATTAAACAGCATATGCTCATTCTGACTCTGATGAATCCACTCCATTAATACATGATCGAGATCTTCACTTTTCTCTATGCAATGTTTTTCTATTTTTCATTAAATTCGTTCATCACTTTCAGCATAGAACTTCAACAATTTATCCTTCTGTTTCATTAGGTGGTAGATTGTAGTTGTTCTAACATCAAACTTCTCAACCAGATGCTTCACACTTAAACCTCTTTCAAGTTTTTCCAACAACTTAACTTTCTGTGATATAGATAAACATAAATGCTTCCTCTTTTTCTTTTCATCATTACCCATAGGCATTTTTGGTATTTTCAACAATATCTTCACATCACAGAGCATAGAACATGCCGTAATCAGTAATTCCTGCTGACAACAAACTGATTGATCCATTTATGGTACATCTTGTCAACACTTGAAAAATGTATGGATTTTGGAGGTTTTTGAATTTTGGAATTTCAGATGAAAGATTCTTTATTGTATATATGCACACAGTAGTACCCCTGTATCTGCAGGTTCAGTTTCTGCGGTTTCAGTTTTCTGCAGTTTACTGCGGGCAAAAAATATTCAGTGGAAAATTCCAGAAATAAATGATTCATAATATCTTTATTTCTACAAGTACATGTACAAGGTATACAGGCCTAGCTGACATCAGTGACATACTATTATGTAGACAGCCCCTTGTTATACAGAGCATTTTTGGCAAATTAGGTAAATTTTGTACCCAGGATATGACCCACACCAGTTGACTAACATCCAGGTACCCATTTTATTAATGGGTGAACAGGGACAGCAGGTGTCTTATGGCAACACGTCCTAATGTTTTCCAGCTATCAGGGGATCGATCCCTGGACTTCAGTGTGTGAGCTGAGTATGCTAGTGATCAAGCTACGGGACAACTTTCAAATTGCACATCATTCTGAGTAGCATGGTGAAACCTTCCCTCCCTGTTCCTCAGTACATGACTCGTCTCTCTTTGTCCTCTGTACCCATGCTGGCCCACTTTATTATACAGTGTGAGGTGTGTGTGTGTGTGTGTGCATGTGTGCATCTCAGTGTATGTACACTGTGAGATATATGTGTGTGTGTATATACACTGTGAGGTGTGTGTGTGCCTCAGTTTATACATGCTGTGAGGTGTGTGTATCTCAGGGGTATGTAGTCCACATGGCATGGGCTGATATAAAAAAAAATTGAAGAATTGAAAAATTAGTTAAGCTTACAGAAAAATACTTCAACAATCTGGCAATGTTTTGGTGTAAGTTTCTACAATGAATTATAGTCACTGCAACATTTCTTTTGATGATGCCACAGTTATTATATCCCTGCTCATGAAGTGAATTTTCAGCTTTTTTTTTATCCCCTGATATATTAAAATCACCATTTGGCATCATTACAAAGTGGGAGGAGCTATGGCAGACCAAGGAGAAGCCAGCAATGATGATGCAGTCGCCATGACAGAAAGAAGTGTTTCGATCATGGCGCTATAAAATGTTTTATATTTACACTATTATTGACAGTTGTATTTATTAATCTATCACTGTCTTCCAAAATGATATTAGGCTTACAGTAAATACCATACAAACATAATACAGATGCCCAAATGAAAAAAACTGACATCTGAGGAGTGGTCAGCTAAGGCAGTTAACCCACAACATTATAATTTTACACTCTCTGGTCCACTAACACTATAGAAAGCATGTGTATCACTGAGGTAACTGTAGAAGAACATTTCTTTTGTATGCCGAGACTCATAAATAGCATGATTTTCTCTCTCTCAAAAAAAAAAAAAAAAATGGCTCTATATCTTGGAAATAAGTTATTGACCTATTTATTGAAAACCACCCATTAATAATAAATGTATTAAAAGCATTCAACAATGACAGAACCTACTATATTATGTTTGGTAGCAGAGCAGGTGCTGCACAACTAAACATTAAGATTGACAGCACCCTAATTGCCAGACATAATGAGGGCAAATTCCTAGGCCTATACCTCGACAACAACCTGAATTTCAGCACCCATATTCAACACATATCAAAAAAAGTATCCGAAACAGTTGGGATCCTCTCCAAGATACGATACTACATGCCGCAAAATGCCCTTCTCACACTATACCATTCACTCATTTATCCATACATCACCTATGAAATTTGTGTTTGGGGATCAACTGCAGCAATACACCTAAAGCCAATAATAACTCAACAAAAAGCCGCAGTAAGAATAATCACTAAATCCCATCCCTGGCAACACCCCCCCACTCTTCATAGATCTAAACTTACTCCCTGTTCAGAATATCCACACTTAATACTGTGCAATCTACATATATAGGACCTTAAATTCCAATATTAACCTTGACCTAAAATGCTTTCTTGATAGTTGTGACAGGGCCCACAAGCATAACACCAGACACAAACATCTCTACGACATTCCCCGTGTCCGACTAAATCTATACAAAAATTCAATGTATGTCAAAGGCCCTAAAATCTGGAACACCCTACCTGAAAACTCTAGAACTGCAGACACATTCATCACCTTCAAAACTACCATTAGAAAACATCTTATCTCCCTGATACACCCCATCAACTAACTACATAAAAACCACCTGGTGGTTCACACGTACACTCACTCACTCACCCATTTGACTATAAGCACAGAAATACGTATCTTAATCTTAAAATAATGATTCCTAACTAGTCACAAGTTTGCCTGTGATACTCCAATATAGAAACTATGTATTGTGCCAGAACAAAAGCATTCACACTGCTAAGCTCACAAACTAGTATTTAGTCACTTAGTATTTAGTCACTTAGTATGTATTCAGTCAACTTACTCCACAATTTGTAATAATTTAGGGTTAAGAATTAATCTAAGTTTGCCTGAAATGCCTAGCCTTGCTAGGTGTTCTAGTGTCCCCCTCTGTAATTAGTATGTATTTTATTACATGTAAACCACACAATAACCAAAATCTGTAAACCCCGCATTGTATTCCTTATAGAGAATAAACTTTGATTTGAATATTTTTGCAGTAGCACAAATTTTTGGCCAAGGGGGGGGGTTATAAAGGGCAGATATGTACTTTACGAAACATCAAAAACTTACCAACTTTATTTTTGGGGGGATGAAAATAAGGTATATTATGGTATTAAATTTCATGATAAATTTAGTTCATCATTGTTTTATCAGTTGGGAGTGCCAAAAACACTTTTGACAGTGCCAGTAAGTGAGGTCTTGCTGCCAAATCCAATTGTCAGTATATATTTTTTTTATTCGTTTTATTGGCCAATCTTTATGAAACTTTTATATGATAATATGACATGTATGCTTATTAAAACTAAACAAAATTGGACAAAAACAAATTGACCTGTTCCAGGCAGGCTATATACTCCTAAATTTACTCACATCCAGTTAGTCTCTAGCATTCTCAATGTCCACATTCGTTGCTGCGTTATTTCGGTGTTCTGAAAATAACCCTTAATTTTGCTAAATAATGGCCTCAAAGCACAAAAGTAGTAATCCTGGCAGGTCTTCAAAGCCTAAGAGAAGTGTAATTTATCCATTAAGGTTTATCATAGGTATGTATGTAAATGGAAAAATGACTTACACAGGGTTCCCTACTATCCGCAGTCTCGGGCATTTGTGGTAGGTCTTGGAACGTATCATCCATGGATACGGGGGCACCACTGTACTATTTCCTTTCCCTCTCTCTCAGCATAAATGGTGGGGATATTTTCTCTTTTCATTTGAATATTCTAACACTTATGGCCAATAGAATGGAATGAATAATGATCATGAATTGTGGAATGTGAAAAATTGACTTTTAATACTTAAATGTAATTATGATTTCTGTAATATGACAGAAAATTGGTCGTGACGGTAACAAGTTTATAATGAAAGCACTAGGATAAATTTGTTTGTTTGTAACAGTGTGTTTATAGTGCTAAATAACCAAATGGTTCTAATGCATTGTAAATTAAATGAGAATAAACAAAACCCTCTCTCTCTCTCTCTCTCTCTCTTTTCTCCCTCACCCCCCTTCCTATTTGTTTCCCACTGTCCTGTATTTTGTCTTTTTTTTTTCTTCCCTCTTTTCCTCTCTTCTCTTCCTCATATTCCTCTTTCCTACCACTTACTCTCCCTTCCACACACACCCTCTGTCTCTTTTCCTCATCCTTTTTTTTTGTGGGCTAAAGGCCATCACAAAATTATGCAATATATGATCCATTGACTCGTTTGAAAGCCGTAACATTCAATGTTAATATCTGAACAACAGCTATCACTCTAGGTATCATGTTTACCATTGATTGGTAGTGTTCATGGTTATTCTAAAGTTCTTGTGTATTCCTGAACTTTATGCATTTACTATATATGTATATCATTGCAGTTCAATGAAACTTTAACATTTTTATGGTAAACAATATTTTCTTGCATCCTCAGATCGTTCAGTGGACCTCGTAGAAGTCTACAGTGATGATGACGAGGATTACAGCTCGCAAGATGAGGGTAGCGATTCTGAGCCTATTCTAGAAGATGGCTCAAGAAGGACTCATCATCATTTGAGATCCAGCACGCGTTCCAAAAGTTTACCCCCTAATGCCCGGGTAAGTTGGTAATGCCATTCGTGTAGCTCTGAATACTGGCTAACCATTCTCTTTAAAGACACTCACTTTTATAATGTTAAAGGTAGGAGATTCATAGATAGCAGCTTTTTATTCTTTACCTAACTGTGTTTCTTGAACCAGTCCCATGAGAAAAAGGGGCTAAAATTCTTCCCTCATAGTCATACATGTCATTTGATGATGACTAATGTGTCAAAATTTTTATTAATGCTGTACAGTGGTACCTTGACTTAAGAGTTTAATTCGTTCCGTGGCCCAGCTCATAACTCAGTTTGCTCGTACAGTATATCAAATCAATTTTCCTCATTGAAATTAATTGAAATGCCATTAATCCATTCCAGCAGAATTCCTGGCTCTCGGGAGGCAGGAGAAAATACTTCAATATAATGCTAATATCAACTCTGTGGCTTATTTATCTATCACATTGATCTAATATGACATAAATAAACAATATAAATAACATATATAAATAACATGATATATACAGTAGAGCCCCACTTTTCAGTGTTCCACCTTACGGCATTCCGCTAATATGGCGATCTCAAATTATGACCAAAACTTTTTATACGGCAAGTGGTCTTTGAAATACGGCATGCACCACCTGGTTTGTTTACGTTCTCCATGAGCACATCTCTCTGTTATGTAATAATAATCACTCTTGGGCACATTAAATGTCTAATTTTACATCAATATAGACATTTTCATTAATCCATCTATGATATTTTCTTCAAAATTATATAAGAAATATGTTACATAGCATATAAACATGCTGTTTACAGTGGACCCTTGGCTAACGAATGCATCGCATAAAGTTAAATCCGCCCAATGAAGCGTTTGAGCGTAAAAATTTTGGCCTGGCTAACGACAAAAAACTTGCCCAGCGTGATTCGTCCCCAAATCTGTCCGTCCAGCCTGAGCACCTCAGCTGCCCTGCTGTCGTTGTTTACAAGCCAGGGTGGCCGGTTTCATGCATACATTCGATACATTTTGTATTATTCCATTGTTTATAGTGCTTGTAACTGCTAAATAAGCCACCATGGGCCCAAAGAAAGCTTCTAGTGCCAGTCCTGTGGTAAAAAGGGTGAGAAATACTATCAAAATACTATCGTACCACGGTCGCTGCTGCTGCACCACCATCAGCTGTACTACTTGAAGATGTGGAGAGACTGTTGTTGGTGTGGCTTAACGAGAAACAATTACCGAGAAACAACCCCAGAGGGTTAGCCACCCAGGATAACCCAAGGAAGTCAGTGAGTCCTTAATCTTGTCCCCCAGGATGTGACCCACACCAGTCGACTAACACCAAGGTGAACAGGAAAAAATGCCTGGAACTAGTGCTCATATTGGTGAATTTAAGGCCAGCAAAGGTTGGTTTGAGAGATTTAAGAATCGTAGTGGCATACAGTGTGATAAGGCATGGTGAAGCTGAAAAATTCCAACTCCAACAAGTGTTCAATTGTGACAAAACAGGCCTGTTCTGGAAGAAAATGCCAAACAGGACCTACATTACTCAGGAGGAAAAGGCACTCCCAGGACACAAGCCTATGAAAGACAGGCTAACTTTCTTGTTTTGTTGTAATGCTAGTTGGGATTGCAAAGTGAAGCCTTTACTCATGTATCACTCTGAAAATCCCAGAGTGTTCAAGAAAAACAGTGTCTCATCACTCATCAATACTCTTCAATAAAGGTGTCATTTTAACATTTATTTATATAGTTATTGTGCATGTCTCATTGTTTTCTTTGTAGGGAAATATATATTTCATGAAAAAAAAAAAACTATTTTTTTAATACTTTTGGCTGTCTGGAATGGATTACGTAATTGGATTTCCATTATTTCTTATGGGGAAAATTAATTTGGCTAACGATAATTTCATCTAACGATGTGCTCTCAGGAACGGATTAATATTGTTAGCTGAGGGTCCACTGTATATGCCATGGAGGTGTGGTTGCCAGGTGGTGGGAAAACATTACGTAATACTAATAATCACTCTTGGGCACATTAAATGTCTTATTTTACGTTAATATAGACATTTTCATTAATTCATCTAGTATTATATTTTCTTCAAAATTATATAAAAAACACGTTACATAACATATAAACATTGTATGTTTATATACTATGGAGGTGTAGTAGCCAGGAGGGAAAACATTACGTCACTCCCCTTGTACATAACGCTGTTGTTTACAATTCTCAGCTTGAGTTATTCATTACTTCTCCCTTTGTGTATGATGGTATCCAAAGGTAGTTGTTTGAAACGATTAAACTCGGTGAACATGGTATGTTGATGGTAATAATATGGCTCTGGGCCGCATTAAATATCGTGTAGCTATGTAGGTAGGTGTAGGTATGTAGCCCAGGCGGACTACATACGTACGCTGTTATTATAACTGATAATTATACGTATGTATACCTGTACATACATATATTTATAGATGGGGTTGTAAAAGAAGTAAATGCTAGGGTGTTCGGGAGAGGGGTGGGATTAAATTATGGGGAATCAAATTCAAAATGGGAATTGACACAGTTACTTTTTGCTGATGATACTGTGCTTATGGGAGATTCTAAAGAAAAATTGCAAAGGTTAGTGGATGAGTTTGAGAATGTGTGTAAAGGTAGAAAGTTGAAAGTGAACATAGAAAAGAGTAAGGTGATGAGGGTATCAAATGATTTAGATAAAGAAAAATTGGATATCAAATTGGGGAGGAGGAGTATGGAAGAAGTGAATGTTTTCAGATACTTAGGAGTTGACGTGTCGGCGGATGGTTTTATGAAGGATGAGGTTAATCATAGAATTGATGAGGGAAAAAAGGTGAGTGGTGCGTTGAGGTATATGTGGAGTCAAAAAACGTTATCTATGGAGGCAAAGAAGGGAATGTATGAAAGTATAGTAGTACCAACACTCTTAATGGATGTGAAGCTTGGGTGGTAAATGCAGCAGCGAGGAGACGGTTGGAGGCAGTGGAGATGTCCTGTCTAAGGGCAATGTGTGGTGTAAATATTATGCAGAAAATTCGGAGTGTGGAAATTAGGAGAAGGTGTGGAGTTAATAAAAGCATTAGTCAGAGGGCAGAAGAGGGGTTGTTGAGGTGGTTTGGTCATTTAGAGAGAATGGATCAAAGTAGAATGACATGGAAAGCGTATAAATCTATAGGGGAAGGAAAGAGGGGTAGGGGTCGTCCTCGAAAGGGTTGGAAAGAGGGGGTAAAGGAGGTTTTGTGGGTGAGGGGCTTGGACTTCCAGCAAGCGTGCATGAGCGTGTTAGATAGGAGTGAATGGAGACGAATGATACTTGGGACCTGACGATCTGTTGGAGTGTGAGCAGGGTAATATTTAGTGAAGGGATTCAGGGAAACCGGTTATTTTCATATAGACGGACTTGAGTCCTGGAAATGGGAAGTACAATGCCTGCACTTTAAAGGAGGGGTTTGGGATATTGGCAGTTTGGAGGGATATGTTGTGTATCTCTATACGTATATGCTTCTAAACTGTTGTATTCTGAGCACCTCTGCAAAAGCAGTGATAATGTGTGAGTGTGGTGAAAGTGTTGAATGATGATGAAAGTATTTTCTTTTTGGGGATTTTCTTTCTTTTTTTTGGGTCACCCTGCCTCGGTGGGAGACGACCGACTTGTTGAAAAAAAAAAAAAAAAATACCTGTACCTAAGTAAACTTAATGTGCTGGCATGCAGGTACACATTAAAATCACTAAGAGTGTCTTATTAGTCTTGAAGATGCCATATTAATAATAATAATAACACAATACTGTAATAATCACTAAGGAGCATTAAATATCATATAAAACGTTAATATAGACATTTTGCTTAATCCATCTAAGTACGCCTCACAGTAGAATAAATTAACATAAGTATGAGATAGCAGATGAACAAGGAGGCTTTAGGAAAGGTAGGGGGTGTGTGGACCAGGTGTTTACAGTGAAACATATAAGTGAACAGTATTTAGATAAGGCTAAATTGGTCTTTGTGGCATTTATGGATTTGGAAAAGGCATATGACAGGGTGGATAGGGGGGCAATGTGGCAGATGTTGCAGGTGTATGGTGTAGGAGGTAGGTTACTGAAAGCAGTGAAGAGTTTTTACGAGGATAGTGAGGCTCAAGTTAGAGTATGTAGGAAAGAGGGAAATTATTTCCCAGTAAAAGTAGGCCTTAGACAAGGATGTGTGATGTCACCGTGGTTGTTTAATATATTTATAGATGGGGTTGTTAGAGAAGTAAATGCGAGGGTCTTGGCAAGAGGCGTGGAGTTAAAAGATAAAGAATCACACATAAAGTGGGAGTTGTCACAGTTGCTCTTTGCTGATGACACTGCTCTTGGGAGATTCTGAAGAGAAGTTGCAGAGATTGGTGGATGAATTTGGTAGGGTGTGCAAAAGAAGAAAATTGAAAGTGAATACAGGAAAGAGTAAGGTTATGAGGATAACAAAAAGATTAGGTGATGAAAGACTTGATATCAGATTGGAGGGAGAGAGTATGGAGGAGGTGAATGTATTCAGATATTTGGGAGTGGACGTGTCAGCGGATGGGTCTATGAAAGATGAGGTGAATCATAGAATTGATGAGGGGAAAAGGGTGAGTGGTGCACTTAGGAGTCTGTGGAGACAAAGAACTTTGTCCTTGGAGGCAAAGAGGGGAATGTATGAGAGTATAGTTTTACCAACGCTCTTATATGGGTGTGAAGCATGGGTGATGAATGTTGCAGCGAGGAGAAGGCTGGAGGCAGTGGAGATGTCATGTCTGAGGGCAATGTGTGGTGTAAATATAATGCAGAGAATTCGTAGTTTGGAAGTTAGGAGGAGGTGCGGGATTACCAAAACTGTTGTCCAGAGGGCTGAGGAAGGGTTGTTGAGGTGGTTCGGACATGTGGAGAGAATGGAGCGAAACAGAATAACTTCAAGAGTGTATCAGTCTGTAGTGGAAGGAAGGCGGGGTAGGGGTCGGCCTAGGAAAGGTTGGAGGGAGGGGGTAAAGGAGGTTTTGTGTGCGAGGGGCTTGGACTTCCAGCAGGCATGCGTGAGCGTGTTTGATAGGAGTGAATGGAGACGAATGGTTTTTAATACTTGACGTGCTGCTGGAGTGTGAGCAAAGTAACATTTATGAAGGGGTTCAGGGAAACCGGCAGTCCGGACTTGAGTCCTGGAGATGGGAAGTTCAGTGCCTGCACTCTGAAGGAGGGGTGTTAATGTTGCAGTTTAAAAACTGGAGTGTAAAGCACCCTTCTGGCAAGACAGTGATGGAGTGAATGATGGTGAAAGTTTTTCTTTTTCGGGCCACCCTGCCTTGGTGGGAATCGGCCAGTGTGATAATAAATAAAAAATAAATAATAAATATGAGATGTGGTAGCCAGGTGACTTGTAGGACTTGTGGTAGCCAGGCAACTTGTAGGACTTGTGGTAGCCAGGCAACTTGTAGGACTTGTGGTAGCCAGGTGACTTGTAGGACTTGTGGTAGCCAGGTGACTTGTAGGACTTGTGGTAGCCAGATGACTTGTAGGACTTGTGGTAGTCAGGCAACTTGTAGGACTTGTGGTAGCCAGGCAACTTGTAGGACTTGTGGTAGCCAGGTGACTTGTAGGACTTGTGGTAGCCAGGTGACTTGTAGGACTTGTGGTAGCCAGGCAGCTTATAGGACTTGTGGTAGCCAGGCGACTTGTAGGACTTGTGGTAGCCAGGTGACTTGTAGGACTTGTGGTAGCCAGGCAGCTTATAGGACTTGTGGTAGCCAGGCGACTTGTAGTCCAACATCAGAGACAATGTGTACACTATAATATTTCTGGGGGTAACTAGAAAATTATTCCTTTCGTATGCCTTCACTCAGGGTGTCATTTCTTCTAAAAATGGTGTTACATGAGAATGGGAGTGTTTCTCTTTATTTATTCTACTTTATCAACGTGGAGACAACTTGTACACAATATAAAGTGACCAAAACCAGATGTGTTCGTCTGGTTTGTTTACATTATGTGCGGGTGGGGTAGGGTGGTGAGGGCTGCCCTTCCTGGCTACCCATACTTCCTAACTTGACTTCATACAAATAAAACTCACCTCACCCTACATTAAGACTACAGATATTTTAAGGTAATTAATGAGTGTACTATATATGCATTTTATTGCTCTAGGAAGCTTAATGTTGTAGTAAGTATAAGTGCCAGTGGCCAGGCAGGATGCCATACCTCCCACACGACTTTCTACAAATAAATACTTTTCACCTCTCACCCTACATTAAGACCATTAAGATTAGAAATATTTTAAGGTAAGTAATGCGTCTACTGTATATGCATTTTATCGCTCTAGGGAGCTTTAAGTATGTGTGGGTGGGGTGGTCAGGAGGGCTACCACACCTGACTTCTTAGAGTAAATACAGTACTACTCACCATTTGCCCTACATTAAGACTACAAATATTTTGAGGTAAATAATGAGTGTACTGTGTGTGTATTTTACTTTTTAATGCCTAGTTCTATTGCTAGCTTAATATATGTTAGTGTATACTTGTTATCTGGTATATATATGCATTTATAAATGGAAAAGATGGAGTTCTGATTTCTGGCGAAGTCTGCTTTCCGGCAGTAGCCTGGAACCTAACCTGCCAAATAAGTGGGGCCCTACTGTACTCTAGAATGAATAAACTGTTATTATGTGATGAGTGGTGGTGGCCACTCCTGTGGTAAAAATAATTATCGCTCTGACCACATCTTCCCATTCTTGCTCTTCTGAGGTCTTTTTATAAGAGAAAACAGTGTTTGTGAGGCTAACTGCACTAGATCACTAGTTTCATGAGGAAAACACTGAAACAAAAATGATTTTCTTGGATTTTTTTTTTTTTTTTTGTTCCTCAAATCGGGAGACTGGCATATGTTTTGGGTGAATATCTCAGAAGTAAATCAGCGTAAGTGCCTTGTGCCTTCTCGCAGAGAAGGCACAAAGTACATACTACGCTTGTACTGCCTCACCAAGTCGACTACAGCACACCTCACTCCTGTTTTCCTATGATTTCATGCTTTAATTCAATGGACATCATAATCTTCTGCTTCTCAACACTCTCCTTTGCACTTACTTTCTTAATACCCATGGTTAGAAAAAAGAAATATGGCAAAATCACTGCACAAAATGCAAGCACAACACAAGAGAGATACTTCCACGGCGAGGTAATCGTGTGCACTGTTGTGGCATTTGCTGTGCCAACTAGTGGCAGCGTATCTGAAGCTCACTTGTAACTCGGATTTTGGCTTGCAATTCAAAGCAAAAAATCGACCGAGCAACGGCTCGTAACTCAGAAAAGTCATAAGTTGGGGCACTCGTAAGTCAAAGTACCACTGTATTCACACAAAAAAATCATTAAACACATATTTGAGTCACACATCATCAGATGTGCCAAAACAAGGGACTGATTACCTCATCTCCAGAATTTAAATGACCAGAAGTTTTGCTCTTCAAGCTTTTTCAGCTGTACATACGTAAATTTGTGACAGCCTGTTCAATGAAACCATCGATAAATAGATTCATGACTTTACTTAATGATAATGGCCCTCCAAGAAGCAGCCATTAGCATTTGATGCCAGTGGCTCTATAACTGGCTGCAGCAGAGTTACTGCAAGCTTATTGGTCAGACTCAGTGATCTGAGTGGGAAGCAATTGAGAAAATGAAAAGAGAGAAAAGAAAAAGTGAAAGAGAAAGTAAGAGTGAATTTAGGGAGAGAGAGAAAAGAGGGAAAGAGTAAGAAGGAGGGGGGGAAGAGAGGGAAAGGAGGAAAAGGAGGAGGAGGGAGAAGTAAGAGAGGGAAAAAGGAAGGATAATTAATTAATGATATAAAAAATATGGAAAGTATATATAGGTATATGTTTTTGAGTTTCTATCATTTTACATACTTTTGTTCCAGCAACGAAACCTAAAACAGAGGTTTATTGCATTGCTCAAAAGATTCAAAGTTCCAGAGGCTCTACAGGCATTTGATCAGGATCAAGAATTGGATCCCAGAACAGGTATTTAAAAATCAGTATACAGCTATTGTTTAATTGTATTGGGCATGAAAAGTCATCAGAATTTTGTTGGATTATTGCCTTATTTTTTCCGCTGGAGGTAAAAATCTCGCACGGACTCTTTATTGCATGTGTCTTCCATTAAACACATGTATGGCATGATCATTTTGTAAATAGTTATGTTTTTTTGCTATACACTATTAGGATAGTTGTGCCTGAGTATAATTATTATTAATTTGTTTGTCTAGAGGAAAATTGCCCAATGTGGATTTTAATCATATGATGATCTGCTGCTCAGTGGCTTGTTAAGCATCTGTTAAAGTTGGTTTGAGAATCAAAATTGATTTGTGAAATGTGATTTTGTAGAAGAGAAAATGTAATATTAAGTGTTGCATATCAGTAGGGTATTTTACTAATGCTCTCCAGTGCATCTGCAGACTGAACTTTCCTTAAGAAATAATTTGTTTAGATGTCTTCTTTTGTTAGTGAGCATTATACTACTGTACTCGTTGATTTATACTCTACTGTACTCATTGATTTGTACTGTCCTGTACTCATTGATGTGTACTCTCCAATTTGTGTTTGTCAGCGTGAAGTCTTGGCTCCTAGCTATGGTATTTAACTGCTACAGTCAAGAGGCATTTCATTATCTTACTCAAAACTATTAATTATTCACTTATTCTATTTTACCACTGTACACTTAATTGATTAAATACAGTAATTTGTTTGAGGATTGGTGACTGTATATCATATTCTTTTGTTAACCTAACATAGTCAACATATAATCACTCTTGCAACTAAGTTTGAGAACATTGTTCAGCAAGCCTAGTTAAAATTTACTGCATTGTTTAAATGGTAAGGAAATTAAAAATCTGTTGATGCATAATCATGCTTTTATAGAATTTTATGCCTTCAGTAAGAATGAACAGAATGATCAAGAGACTTTTTTACATGAGGTAGCTGGACTCTAGGCCTGAAGGTAGGAACTACGGCACTTGCACTCTGAAGGAAAGGTGGGTAGGGATGCAGCAGTTCAAATGGTCATTTCAGGTGTGATATCTGCACATTTCTGGCAAGATAGCTATTGAAGGAATGTTGGTGATTTTTTTTTTTTTTGAGAGGGGAGTGGTCCTCCTTTCCTTGGTGGTAGATGACTGATGTGGTAAAATAAAATAAAATTTGTGAACTTATATACCCTTAGAAAAGTGTTTAGATAATTAACCCACAGTTTTGTCTCACTTTAGATCTTTATAAATATTACTTAGTCAATTTTTTTTCCTGAAGCATGATAAGCTTTATTCCTAAAATGTTTAAGTTGGTTGATTATATTTACACTTATTGACTATTTGTTAATATGTAGTAGTTGATAATACTACAACATATACAACTGAGTATTTTGAAAGAAATATTTAGGCTAATATTACTGAACATTAATTTTTAGGTGGTGAAGTGGATGAAGCAGAAATTGAAGATTTGTTTGATGAGTTGGAGGATCTCAGCGACTCTGGACCAGAAGTTGACACAATCTCCATCACTTCAACACCAAAACCTTCACTCCGGCCATATTTCTCCTCTTCTAGATCTCTACTTAATGAAGGTCTCAGTGTGCCAGGTTAGGGTGTCCTAGTAGGATTTGGGTGGGATTAAGCCTCAAGCCTAGATACTATTCATTTTAATTTAAAAATTGGCATTAATCTCTTGGGAGGGTTAAGTATATTAAATATTGAGATGATCTAAATTTTGGGTTATTACTTAGCTTTGAGATTGAGATGTTAAAGTAGATCTGAATTTGGCTTGGGTTTTTCATATTAATTTTACTTTTTTCTCCTTGCCCTTGGCATGTATGCACAGTATATATTTATTTTTTATTTTATTTTTTTTAAGTACAGTATTTTAAATTCTTTAAGATGCAGTTGGTATAGACTGTATTTTACTTAAGTTATAATCTTGAATTATTCCTGATATTGACACCTGGAGTATACCTAGACATATTGCCATTTAAAATTAAAAATAACTTAAAAATAGTAAGGTAGTAAAAGAGATACAAATGCAGTATAACATGATCCTTCATTGATGTGTTGCCAGTGCATTGGGCTTCATTGTTGTCAATAGACAATCATGGTATACTGAATTTGGAGGGAGGGAGGAAGGGAGGATAGAGCATGGGTGTATTCAGAGGGGGTATGGATGTATTCAGAGGGAGTAGGGATGTATTCAGAGGGGGGTATGGATGTATTCAGAGAGTATGGAGTATGGATATATTCAGAGAGTATGGAGTATGGCTATATTCAGAGAGTATGGAATATGGATATATTCATATATTTGGGAGTGGACATGTCAGCAGATGGGTCTATGAAGGACAAGGTGAACCATAGAATATATGAGGAAAAAAAAGCTAGGCATGTTGAGGGATCTGTGGAAAGAAAGAAGTTTATCTTAGGAGGTAGAAATGGGAATGTACCAGAGTATTGTGGCACCAACACTTTAGTGTGGATATGAGGCATGGAATTCAAACATTGCAAAAGGAGGGAGGCTAGTCAGTGTAGCTGTTATGTTTGTGAGCAGTGTATGGTGTGAATATTATACAGAGGTTTTTGAATATAGAAATTAAAAGACAGTGAAGAGGAGGGGCTGCAGAGGTGCTTTGGGCACTGAGGGATGATGGAGAGGGATTGGATGACAAAAGAGGTTGTATCAATCTGGGTATGGAAGACAGGAGGGGCTTGAACATCCAGCAGGTTTATGTGAGCATGTTAGATATTAGTGAATGGAAACAAGTAGTTTTTTAATAGAGGTGCTGTTGGAGTGTGAGAATGGTAACATTTCTGAAGGGATTCAGGGAAACTGGTTAGCTGGACTTAAGTTCTGAAGGTAGGAAATCCACTATCCGCATTCCAAAGAAAGGGTGAGTGCAGTTTGGGATATTAACATGCTTCTGGCAGGAGAGCAGTTGAATGACGGTGAATGAGTTGCTTCATTTTTGGGTCACCCTACCTTGGTGGGAGATGGCGATTGTGTTAAAAAAATAATGTTTTTAAATGAAGGTTGTTTTTATGAAGAAAATTGATTATTAGAGGAGTTTTTGTTAAATTGCATTAGAAGTTTTTTAAAATTTAAAGTCATCCACAGTACTGTTTATAGGTAACCTAGGGTGAAAATACAGTATTTAGAGTAATGAATTGCATAGTATAATATGGCATTTGCAAAAGCAGCCAAATTTTTTATATCTGGTTATTTCTTGTCATGGTTAACCTGAAGACAAGGACTCTTCAGATCATTAATCCAAACAAACCTAAGAATTTCAAATAGTGTGGCAAATTTCCAGTGGGATCCTTAGATCTCTTTCTCTAAGATACCACTCACTTAAAGTTGATTAACTCTTGGGTGCCTATTTATAAACTGCTAGATAAGCAGGGTTAGTAGGTATCAAGATGCTTGCTCATGTCTTTTCCTTTCTAGGACTCAAACCTAGGTCTTTTTGATTGTTAAGCAAACACTACCACTGAGGTACTTCTGAAATTCTCTTGAACATTCATTAATTTTATGAGACTGGATAAATACTATCTTGTAAGAGCTGAAGAATGAGGTGTGGTAGTAATCAGAAAATAGGTAATTCCCAATCCAAAAGTTTGTCATTTTAAACTCTGGGTTTCTGAAGTACTGTACTCAATTTGAGATGATGGGAAATAATTATGACTGCTACAGGATCAAACTATTTAAGTTGTTGTTTAAGGCATGTCTGATATTCATGTTTTAAAAAAGAAGCCTCTTAAAAATCAATGAAAATTTTAGATTTAAGATACCATCACAGACTCGTGCTCTAAATATTAAAATGCTGAAAAATATGTGTAAAGAAATGGACCCTGAAAATCTCAAGAAATGCAGATATATAGAAATTCTCATATGTGACTAGACTTTATAGATTACCATCGTAAATTTTGTAAATTTAAAATAAAATTTATGGACTCTTAGAATTTATAGATTTATTATGAATATTGGCAGTCTTTGGCTCTTGTTCTTAATGAAGCATGCCTAGAAGGTAAGCACTGTCATAGTGGGGCCACCTGGTGTAGTCATTGCCAACTTTTTAATGAATATACAGCTATTATGCTTACTAATTGTCCTTAACAATATAATTTTTGTTTATCCTCAGAGGATGATTTTTTCTTGAACATTCAAGTGCAGTATATTGTTAAATGTCTTGTTTATACTGTGTAACATTCATTCCTACACATAATTTATAGAGTTAAAAATATCATTGTCCAGCATAAGGTATCTGTACCAGTACTTACAACAAAATCCTTCTCTGGGGTAAATTAAAGCATATTAATTTCTTTTTTATATTAATAATCCATACAAATATTGTACAACTTCACTTCTTAGTAAATTTCAGCTTATTCTTGTCTAGTATATGCAAACTATTTGCATGTCAAGGGTGTGTGTGTGTGTGTGTGTGTGTGTGTGTGTGTGTGTGTTTTGGATAATGGTGTGATGCATTCAATTCATAAAACTGTTTTTTATTTCTATCATAAATTTTCACTCTTACACAGATTTGTGAGAAGAAAGACATGTATACATCACGATCTGCACTATAGGAACAGTTTTGTCATTTGGATTTATATTGTCAGTTAGTTTGCTATTAATATTTTAAATATCAAAATTGATAGAGTATATTTTATTTGTTTGTCAAAGCATACAAAGCCACTTCTCACAGATTGCAGTTGAAGTTTTACTCCTGAGTGTTCCTAAGTAAGCTTAAAGCCTGAAAAAAAAGCTATTTTTCTTGCATTATCTACAGTTCAGTATGTGAGGGACAATAAAGCACCAGATCATACAAGGCACACAATTAATATCTGAATTTGACCAAGAAATTTTTGAGGTTTATTTCATTAATTTCAGCTTTAAAAAAAGAGCAATTAAATTATCCACTTTCACTTCTAGTTTATTATTAATATGAGAGTACCAGTATGTTGACTATTATCAATATGACTGAATGCAGACATTTTACGGAAAAGATATCTTGAAAGTGGACGACTTTGGGAGGGTATGTAAAAAAAGGGAAATTAGAAGTGAACATAGGAAAGAGAATAATAATAATAAAGTCTGGATAATGATAGATTGGATATCAGGTTAGAGGGATGGAGGATAGAGGAAGTGAAAGTATTTAGATATTTGGGAGTGGACATGACAGCAGATGGGTCTCTGAAAGATGAGGTAAATCATAGAATAGCTGAGGAGAAACCGGTAAGTTGTGTGTTCAGACACCTTTGGAAAGTAGCTCATCTGTGGAGGAAAAAAAAAAAGGGAATGTACCAGTGTATAGTGGTACCAACATTTTTATATTGGTGTGTAAGGAGGCTAGTCAGTGTATATCATGTTTGAGAGCAATGTGTGTTGTGAATACAGTGTTATGCAGAGTATTTGGAGGATAGAAAGTAAAAGACTGTGTGTTGTTAACAAAGGTATAATTCAGATGGCTGAGGAAGGGTTCTTGAGCAGAAAAAGATAACTAAGAGGATGTATAAATCTGGGGTGAAAGAAAGGATGGATAAGGGTCATCTCAGGAAGGTTTAAAGGAAGGGAATAAACATTTTGAATACTAGGGGCTTGAGCATCCAGCAGCCATGTGTGAGATCAGAGTTAGTGGAGGCAAGTGGTTTTTACAACCTGATGTGCTGTTGGAGTGTGAGCAGTGTAACATTTACTAGGGAAATCAGGGGAAACTGGTTAGCCAAACTTGAGTCCTGGAGGTGTGAGTTACAGTGCCTGCAATGTAACTCCCACCTCCAGGTGGGGATGTTGTAGTTCAGAGGGTTATTGGAAATGTGATGTCTGTGCACTTCTGGCAAGACATCTATTGAATGAATGATGGTGAATATATTTCTTGTTTTTGGGTCACCCTACCTTGGTGTGAGAAGGTAAGTTTGTAAAAAAAAAAAAAAGATAAAATATTCATTAATGATCAGGCATTTCTGTTACTTCTGTTGATTCAAACTAACTGCTCACATGTCCAGAGTACAGTATAATTGTCTACTAGTTGATGGTTCTGGTGATTGGTGCTTCTACTGCTCAACCTTTAATCAGGCTACCTGGGTGATGGCCTCTTCAGCTAGGCTGTAGGCATTTACATCTTGCATTCCAATGGAAGTACTGCAGCTTAACTGATTAAAGACTACATTAAGAAGCTTATAAATCACAAATACACCGGTTTTATTAGGGCTCTGTGTGTTCCATTCTTTCAAGTTGCAGTCCTCTCGCAGTTGCAACTTTATAATCTATTCATATATGTTTTTGCTAAAGATACAGTTTATTAGTAAATACTCTCTTTAAAAAATGCTCAGTTTTTATAACAGCTGCAGATCACTGATATGTTTTCAAATTAAACTTGCTTAAGCAATAGTATAGTATTTATAGACAGTGTGTGTGATTTAATTTAGCTGCTCTTTCTACATCATCTTATCCATAATTATTTTAATTATTCAGACTGATCTATGTAGTATTGCCCATTTGATAGATTTTCTTTCATCCTCATTTCAAATTTTTTTTCATGCAGTAATAACTTTTTTTTTTAAATAGTTATTATTTGGTCATTTGTTTTGCTTAGTCTTTACAGTGTAATTCTATATTATTTATTGATACTAGTTACTTCAATTTTTTTTCTTTTTTTTTTACACTAAGCTAGGATTGAAGATAACATTAATTGTGTGCCTCAGCTCATGTTGAACCTTAACTGTTTCTTAGCAAATCAATGGAATTGTAGATTTGTCCTAGTTTTTGTTTTGCCTTTTTTATGTTATAAATTTTTTACCAGTTTCCTATTGCAGTATAAGCAGAAGTGGCTAATTTTCTTGTCAATACAGGGGGTACTTACCTACGATTGAAGGTACCAGGTGCGTTACGTCCTCGTGGTATTAAAGGTGGTCATGGGCTGTTCTGTTTGGCTGATTATGTTGCTATGTGTTGCTTGGAGGGATCAGTTATTTTGAGCTTATTAATTAGTGCAAACGAGTCCTGTGGTCTAGTTTTTAAAAGAGTCTTTACGTGGATCCCTAAATCAAAATTAGGTAACCATTTAGAGAAAGCTTTAAAGGTAATACATGTACAATATTTGTATTTATAATGAGCTCAAAATAATGAGTTTATTTAAAATCTTGGTTGATATAAATATAGCTTGATTGTTACATTAATATCATTGCCTATATCTTCCTTTAAATTGGTTGACCCTTTGATGACTTAACGTATTAATTGTATACTTGCCTGCTGTATTTTTTCTTTCTTTTGCATCATATATTTTTAGACTATGAATTGAGAAGAAAATAAAATATACAGTATAACGAAATTTAATGTAACATACATTATATTAAATGCTTTGATAACTGACAAAACTAATTAAAAAATTATCAGCCTCTTTTAGCATATTGCTGTTGAGATTTTTTTTTAATCCATTATTTTTTCAAGTTAATGTTTTTGAACTAGAATTTATAAGCTATATGCTATGTATATGCTTTCTACTATTCCACCATTCTATAGCAAATATGAAGCTTAAAGCTTTGCTGTATAGTTTCTAAGTCAAAGTCACCCCAACTCATAAATAATCTTCTTCATAAAATGACTCCTGAGTCTCACAGAATCTAGAGTAAGGAAAAAAGTGCATTTCTTCTACACTTCAATGTTGAGTCTATTATGTATGTTTATTTTGATGTCTTCCCTTTAGTAAAACTGCCTTAGAGAGGATGGCTTCATCTTGAACCATCCTTAAACTAATTTTGAGAGGGTAGCTTCATTTAAGATCATCTGTAAATTGACTTTAAAGGGGTGACTTCATATAGAATCATCCTTAATCTTACTTAAGAGAAAAGCTTCATGTAGAATGAGCGCAGGAAAGAGAAAAAAAGCGGGGTGGGTTTTGGATTTATTGCATCAATATTTTTAGATTATTTCTCTTGGAGAGAGCAGGAGGGTAGGACTGAGGCTAATTGAGCTCTGAAATTAATATTTTATTTTATAATTTACTACTGTTAAAAAGCTTTATTTCATTAAAAAAATATTTAAGTTATTTCTCTCTAAAACAAGTTTTGTTTTGTTATTTCATTAAAATTCTAGCTTCTCTGGTATTGCCTTTTATGATTTATTTTTATAATATGGATGAGGGCAAGAGATAAGAGAGAGAGGTTTATCCACGTTGGGTTTTGTGTAATTGCTGGGGTGTATTGCTACTGTCAGCTTCATCTACCTCTCCGTATCCTAAACCCTCCATTCGAAGAAGGTTGTTTTTGTCATATCCCACTGAGTGGCTTCCTTTGGTCAACTACTGTATCTGTTGAGGGTCCCAAGATCTAAAGAGTCATTGGACAGATTATTATAAGATAAAGACATCAGGATATTTAACCCCTGTCAAATACACACATGGTAACACAAAGGTCATTTGAAATTACCACAGTATAAATACAAGTTTCCTAGGTAGTAGGTTGGTAAACAGTAGCTGTCCAGAGAGGTACTACCGTCCTGCCAAGTGAGTGTACAACGAAAACCTGTAATTGTTTTACATGATGGTAGGATTGCTGGTGTCTTTTGTCTGTCTCATAAACATGCAAGATTTCAGGTACATCTTGTTACTTCTACTTATACTTAGGTCACACTACACATACATGTACAAGCATATATATACACACCCCTCTAGGTATTCTTCTATTTTCTTTCTAGTTCATGTTCTTGTTTATTTCCTCTTATCTCCATGGTGAAGTGGAACAGAATTCTTCCTCCGTAAGCCATGCGTGTTGCAAGAGGCGACTAAAATGCCGGGAGCAAAGGGCTAGTAACCCCTTCTCCCATATAAATTACTAAATTTAAGAGAAACTTTCGTTTTTCTTTTTGGGCCACCCTGCCTTGGTGGGATACGGCCGGTGTGTTGAAAGAAAGAAAGAAGAAATACAGTGGACCCCCGGTTTACGATATTATTTCATTCCAGAAGTATGTTCAGGTGCCATTACTGAACGGATTTGTTCCCATAAGGAATATTGTGAATTAGATTAGTCCATTTCAGACCCTCAAACATACACGTACAAACGCATTTACATAAATACACTTACATAATTGGTCGCATTGGGAGCTGATCATAAAGTGGGGGTCCACTGTACAAGTTTAGCATCAGACCATAATCCTCAGCATGTGACCACAGCACAAGCCATAGTCTAACATCTAACCACATTGCCAGCCTCAAAATACAATTTTGAACCAAAAAAAAGTTTAGAGAATATTTTTTTTTTATGCAGAGGAGTATTTATTTATTTTTATTTATTTAACAGTTACTACAGTGTTTAATGATAATTATTAGAGAGTAGTATACAAATATGATTAATATAAGCAGAATATTTGTTTACATCCTCTGTGAGCTCTGTCTCTCTCTCTCTTGATTATGTCTGGAAGCTCCAAAGTTTTGAATGTTTGAAAGTTATTGCATATTTTATATATGTATACTCTTTTTGTGTTACAATGACATCTAAGTATAGTTGTGATAAAAAGAGGAGTCATAAGTGTCTTACTTTAAGTGCAGAGTTAGAAATAATTAAACTCGGTGAGCAAGGTATGTCTGTGGCTAAGATGGGACTGAGATACTACTGATAATTGTACTTATGTGTACCTATACCTAAATAAACCTATATAATATATTTAGTTGGATTAGGCTAAATTAAATTGTGCTTATTATAATAAGGTTGGGTAAGTTTTTTAAGGTTCTTTTGGTACAAAATTATTAATTTTTACACTAGCATAAATGAAAAAATATACAGTGGACCCTTGGTTATCGGCTGTTCAGGATATCGGCCATCTCGGTTATTGCCTGGTTTTTTGGCTGGAATTTTATTCCGGTTATTGGCCGTTATTTTGCTTATCGACTGTATTGGACGCGCCCACCTGCCAGCCACTCGCAAGTTCGTGAGTCAGTCTGGCTGTGTCTCTGGGCAAGTGAGTAAACTTCTGCTCATTCATTCAAACAATTTGCTATAATCCATTGTTTATTGTGGTTATTGATTGAGTGCAACTGCAAAATAAGGAACCATGGGCCCAAAGAAAGTTCCTAGTAAAGTTCCTTCGGTAAAGAAAGTGAGAAACATGATGGAATTTAAGAAAGAAGTTGTTGAAAATTATGAGAATGGTGTTCAAGTGCTAGAACTTGCCTGTAAGTATGGGAAATCCAAATAAACAATCACTCCCATGCTGGCAAAGAAAGTAGAAATCAGGGAAGCTAATGTTGCAAAAGGGAGTTTAGCAGGGAGGCAGGGAGAGTAGCAGGCAGGCAGGGAGTGTAGTAGGGAGGCAGGATGTAGCAGGGAGGCAGGATGTAGCAGGGAGTGGAGGAGGAAGGCAGGGAGTGTAACAGGCATGCAAGGAGCATAGCATGGAGGAAAGGAGTGTAGCAGACAGGCAGGGAGTATAGTAGGGAGGTAGGGTATAGCAGGGAATGTAGGAGGAAGGCAGGGTGTGTAGCAGGCAGGCAGGGAGTGTAGCAGGGAGGCAGGACCCAAATGGAAATAAGTCACTCTCTGACTTTTTTGGGTTATCCTAGGTTCTTTACACATATGCTGTGGAAGGGAGGCAGGGAGTGTTGCATGGAGGGAGGGAGTGTAGCATGGAGGGAGGGAGTGTAGCAGGCAGGCAGGGAGGGTAGTAGGGAGGCAGGGTGTAGCAGGGAGTGTAGGAGGAAGGCAGGGAGTGGAGCAGGCAGGGAGGGACGTAACCCCAGAGAGGGCTTTGATACCTGAAGTCTTATGGAGGGGGATTCCCCTTCCAAACAATAATCAGTTCTCCCTCTCTCCTCCTCCTCCTCCTCTCCTCCTCCTCCTCCTCTCCTCCTCCTCTCCTCTCCTCCTCCTCCTCCTCTCCTCCTCCTCCCTGTCTTCCACAAGCCAACAAGAATAGTTATATTGACATTAAGAGGGATGTTAAAAAGGGGATGAGAAAAGCTAAACGGGACTATGAAATTAAAGTTGCTAGGGATTCGAAATCTAACCCAAAAAGTTTTTTCCAGGTTTATAGAACAAAAGTTAGAGATAAGATAGGTCCCCTTAAAAATAACTCTGGGCATCTCACTGACAAGGAGAATGAAATGTGCTCTATTCTTAATAATTATTTTCTTTCGGTTTTCACTCGGGAAGACACTAACAATATCCCAGTAATTAATTTTTATAGTGGGCCTGATAATGATAAATTATGCAATATCACAGTCACTACCGAATTGGTTATCAAACAGATAGACTGGTTAAAGCAAAATAAATCCCCGGGCCCTGATGAACTTTTTTCAAGGGTTCTTAAAGAGTGTAAAATGGAACTTTGTGAACCATTGACTAATATTTTTAATATTTCTCTTCAAACAGGTGTAGTGTCTGATATGTGGAAGATGGCTAATGTAACTCCTATTTTTAAAGCAGGGGACAAGTCGCTACCGTCAAATTACCGCCAAACAAGCCTAACCTCAATTGTAGGTAAATTACTAGAGTCAATTATAGCTGATAATATAAGAAGCCATCTCGATAAGCATAGCTTGATTTATGATACTCAGCATGAATTCACGAGGGGCCGTTCCTGCCTAACTAATTTATTAACCTTCTTCAGTAAAGCTTTTGAGGCCGTTGATCATGATAAAGAATTCGATATTGTTTATTTAGATTTTAGTAAGGCTTTTGATAGAGTACCGCATCAGAGACTGTTAAAAAAAGTGGCAGCTCATGGCATTGGGGGAAAAGTGCTGTCATGGATCGAGTCATGGCTCACTAATAGGAAGCAGAGAGTATGCTTAAATGGGGTTAAATCCGAGTGGTCTCATGGGAAGTGGGAACGGGAAATTCTTCCCTCTGTAAACCATGCGTGGGTCTAGAGGCGACTGAAAATGCCGGAGCCAAGGGGCTAGTAACCTTATCTG